GGCTGAGAATTCTGGAAGTTCAATTGGGTTGGGATTAACACTGCTGCAGAGGAGTTTCTGTGATATAGGACAATAGGTAGTCTTCAACTTACGACCTCAGTGGAGCCAAAGTTTATATTTAGTTGCTAAGTGAGACAGATGTTAAATGAATTTGGCCCCATTTTATGACCTTCCTTGCCACAGTTGTTAAGTGAATCACTGCAGTTGTTAAGTTGGTAACGCGGTTAAGTGAATCTAGTTTCCCTATTGACTTTGCTTGTCAGAAAGTCACAAAAGGTGATCCCATGACCCTGGGACTGTTATAATATGAGTCAGTTGCTAAGCGTGACCATGGAGATGCCTGCTGCAGTCATAAATGTGAAAAACAGTCATAAGTCTCACTTTTCAGTACTGTTGTAACTTTCACTGTCACTAAATGAGTTGTTGTAAGTCAAGAACTACCTGTATTTTTACTTACATTATCTTATTATTTACATTATCGCAACATTGAAACACTTTTGTTAGATGAGCCAGTTTTACCATTTCCATGTGCAAATGTCCATAAAACTCCCACCCTTGTGGCTTTCGTAAGGTCTTTAAAAGGTAGCTTCATTTCATTGACACACACACACACACTCCTGCAATCCTAACTAGATTTTATTGGTGCCTGTCATAGGGAAAATTGATTCATTATTATTATGTTTTAAAATATACAATTTAGATTTATTCTATTCATTCCATCATTAAGTTACATAAGAGAGCTGAAGGATTTAAGAGAGCAACAGTAACGCAAGCTACATAGTAAACTGACATGCAAGATGAGATTCAGCAAGTACAGTAAAATCCTGATCTTAGCTTGTCATATCCACTTTAAAATACAGTACAGCCATGAATTCACTGGGCAATATTAGACAAATCATTTTCTCAGCCATAATTCTGCTTTTTTTTTTACCAGATGAGAAGATGCATAAATCTCTTTAAGCCCTTATGGGAAGTTCATTGCCATGAAGTAACTTCTGAGTTTCATTTTAATATTCATACTCAGCTTTACACATTCTTTTAATGCATTTGTGTTCTCCAAGTGGAAATTCTAATAGGCAATGGTGAAGATGAGACAATGTCTTGATAATTTAATGGTGGGAAAGATCATCACATTTAAATTATCACTTCAGTTTTGAATAGTGGCTCTTCACTATCTCAGTTTTGACTGTGTATCATTGAAAAATGAATGCTGAAGAGATGAGAATCCATATGTGAGTAAGTAAGGAGTAGGACAACTAGAACGATTGCTTCCTGAATTCATTCATTAATGTGGAATAAAAATGCAGGATATTTTGTATATCCTGTGTGAGTTGTATGCTCTCCTTTACCTCCTTGCCTCACTTTCTAGCATGACATTCCCTCCCCCCCGCTGCACTTCCATTCAATCATGTTCAGTTCTCAGAGACTGCTTGGACAAGTCTTTGTGGTTTTCTTGGCAAGGTTTTTCAGAAGTAGTTTGGTATTGCCTCCTTTCTGGAGCTGAGAGAGAGTGATTGGCCGGGATTAGAATTCACAAGTCTCCCAGTTTCTCACCTGGTGCCTTAAGCACTCACCAAGCTGGCTCTCAGCATTGTTCTATTTAATCAGTTTTCCAGCCTTGGTATTGCTTTTACTTTGTTAGTTGGCTTGAACTGAGAACTTGAAATGTGAGATCACAAAGTCAAGCCTGAATAATTTGCTCAAGTTTAGTCAATCAAGAAAATCAAGTGGAACTTCCCTTCAGTTAGCAGTCTCACACCCCCATCATTTCATATGATTTCATTGTAAGAAGGAACTGTACTTGCCACCATACATTTGGGCCTAGCTTGATGGGTTATGAATCCTTAACAACTTTTACAACTGCTCTTTTGAACCTACATGCTGTCCAATGAGGAAAATACATTTTTGTATTGTTTACTACACAACCATTTGTATACCACCTACTTTTAAAGATTCAAGAGCCAGTTTTTATAACAAGCAAAATAATAAACAGGAGGATGATACCATTCTAGGTCTATCATTTACATCAAAAGTTCATCAGGTAAAATGTGTTTTAAAAGTCTTAACGAAAGGGAACAGAAATAGCGGGTAGTCTGCCAGAAGCAGAGTTCCATAATTGGGGGAAGCCTCAGTTGAGTAGGTAGGTATGTCTCCACCATCACTCTTTTCATCTCACATAATGTGGAGAATCTAAGCAGCCCCTCTAGAAATTTTGGGCAGAATAATGGTCCTGTAATTATTTGGCTGCCAAGTCATAGAGAACATATATAGGTAGCCCTTGACTTACAATAGTTTGCTTAGTGATTGTTTGAAGTTACAATAGCAATGAAAAAAGTGGCATATGACAGTTTTTCACACTTACGACCATTGCAGGATCCCCATTGTCACAAAATCAAAATTCCGCCGTTTAGCAACTGACTCACAGTTATGACGGTTGAGTGCTCTGGGGTCATGTGATTCCCTTTTGCAACCTTCTGACAAGCAAAGTTAATGGGGAAATCAGATTCATTTAATGGTTACCAATTTAATAATTGAAGTGATTCACTTAACAACTGTGGCAAGAAAGGTTGTAAAATGGGTCAAAACTCACTTATCAAATATCTCACTTAACAACAGAAATTTTGGTCTTAATTGTGGTCAAAAGTAAAGGACTATGTCATGCCCCTGGTGGAGACTGACTCTGAGCAAAAGGAGGAACAGCCAACAGGGAGTGGAAGTGTGGCTCTGGAGGTGATGGAGGAGGCTGGGGAAGGGCAGATGCCGGCTGAGCAGTCAGAGGAGGACCCAGGCCCATCCCCTATCCATCCTAGGGCACGCAGGGAGGAGAGGATCAGGGTAAAATGTGGTCTACTCAGGAGGAGAGGGCCATGATTGTCTTCATGGGTTTCAGGTGTGAGATCTGCATAAAAGGTTGGACCTGCGTGCTAACAGAGGCTGGAGACAAATCAGTATTTTATTCCTAAAGAAGGTTTATCTTGGTTGGCGTTCTTCCAACGGACTGTTTTTATTTATTTATTTATTTATTTATTTGATTTGCCAATTGTTTACAAGATAAGTATAAGTGTATACATAGTTGTGAATACATGAAATGGGTACATATAAGAAAAATAAAAGAAGAATAAGAGAAACAATAGGACAGGGACGGTAGGCACGTTGGTGCGCTTATGCACTGTCCCTGGTATCTTCCTGAAGTTGGCAATTATCTATCCTGGTCTGTCATGGAACTTTATTCAATGCAGATTTGTTTTTGGTTTTTGCTTCATTATCAGCTCTTTGAATTTGAACTGTGTTTCTTTCCTTTGAAATATTATTTTGAAAATAGTTTACTCCTCCACTGTGAACAATTAAACAGTGAAGCCAAGTTGAAGGCATTAAAGGACTTTTAGTTACGTTTTGGGTTTTGTTATATTTCTGATATACTGTGGGTCATCACAGACTACCTTCAGGCTGTTAGCTATATATATGGCCATGGTTTCTTTGATTAAAAAAATTCTAGGTTTTTCTTTTAATTATGCACCAGACTCATCACTCTTCCCCACCTTCCATCAGCACTAATAATGTAAGTTCTGCTTTCTAGTCTCTTTTTAACCTCCTGGATACGTGTAAATTGTGCTGGGCAATGGCTTGCTGTTTTAATCCTGATTTGTGAGTAAACTTTAGTGGCAGTTTTCATATCTTGAACTTTTATAAACCACAATGGATGTGTTTGCCCAATACTCTTAAGTCAAAACAAAATGAACCACAGGGTGTCATAGCATAATGTGTGCATGCAGTAGTTGGCCCAGAACTTAAATAAGTGGACAAAAAGAAATTCTCAAATCTCATTTATCCTTTTTTTACACACACACACACACACACCCATCCCAAATATATTCCTAGGCATCCTGAAAAGCCATTCTTTAGAGCCAGGAAAAGGTTCTCTGAAGGATTCAGAATGGATTATTCTGCAATATGGTAGAAGCAAATTATATTTCTCAGTGTGAGACTAACATTAGGTAATTTCCACTGATTCAAAAGTTCTCAGACTGTCCAAAGAATTGTCTTAAAGTGGTTGTCATGGAGGGCAACAGTGTCAATGAACTTCAAATTATGACTTATATAACAAAAAATAATATACAGAACATATTGGACTCCATTACCTTTATATAAGAAAAGGACTGTCAAAAACAGCATTTTGTTGGAGACGTAATAAGGATAATGCTCCTTTAAAAGATATGTTTTGACAATATTCTATACTTACTGAGTCTTGAGAGAAAGTAGTGGATAAAACATATATAATTATATGCCAAACTTAAAAGTTTTAACTTAAAAGTTTTGTTTTTGAAAAAAGCTGAATGTTTGGTGCTCTGTAGTTGCCAAAAAAAAAAAGACAACATCCTTGAATGCTTCCCAGGTGATCTTTAAACCACTTGCCACTGATGATGTATCTGATTAATGGACAACAAAAATGCCTTTCTTAATCTTGGCATCAGCTATTCTTGGAAACATCTGTCTCAAATAGCACAAACATTCACCTTCCATGTTCATCGCTTTCACAATTTTTTTCATCAATTTGAGTTTTATTTGAAGCAGAGCAAAATATCAGTCATCTAGGACATGATTATTCCAAAAGTACTTTTTCAAAAAGCAACTGGACTTTGTTTTAGTTGAAGATGTCTTACTTTTCATCCAAGAAGCTTCTTCAGTTGAAGAAGCTTCTTGGATGAGAAACAAAACATCTTCAAGGAAAACAAAGTCCAGTTGCCTTCTGAAAAAGCACCTTTGGGACAAGCAGAGCAAAAACAACTTTGTTGAGTCAACAAGTGGTTTATTTGCCATATTTTCTGTCCTGGAACCAAATTCTTTTGGGATAGCTATTTCTTTTTGATGTGATGTGACTCTCTTGCATGGCTGTCCCATTTGCATATGTAACAACAGTACTTGGTGTATCTGAGCTGCATTCCAAACAGCAGAGCCTCTACTTTTAGATCTCTGCAGGTATTTTCAGGTGTACCTGGTACACTGGATATATTTCATCAATTCCATGTTTTTGTATGTTTCTTTCATCAGCGTAGCCAACAGTTACTGAAGGATGTACATTGCCATTGTGTAAAAACAGAAGATTTCTATAAAAAGGTACATGGTAGTTTAAATTACAGGTAATTTTCCTGATTAGGAACCACAAATCTATATGATGCACCCAAAAGTGTTCAGAAAGCAAAATTATTGTTGTTCAGTGTTTTCAAAAGATACTATTCTCTTGAATTATATACCTAGTACATGGAATTTGACAACCAGATAATGTAAATGGATCCTCCATGCCCTTACTACTGTATAGCCAAAAGACTAATGTTGCAGCATCAAAAAGATAAATGTATGGCCTCTTTTACTCAATGGATAGAAACCTTGATTGCATTTGCCACCTAAGAATGGATTGCCTACAGATGAAGACTTTGTATGGACAAGTGTAATGAAATATGGGACTCATTTATACAAAATACAATAGGTTAAAACATTATTCAGGTATGTATATGTATCTAATGCATATATAATTATCATAAGTGCATTAGAAATATATACATACTTGAATAATGTTTGCATTAGATAAATATAGAATTGTAGCTGTTTAGTGTTATAATGATTTATCATACTATGGTTTTTTTCCCCCTCCTTGTCATATTTCTTTTGTGTTTTGTTATTAATTGAAGAGCAATAATATTAATTTTAAAAATAGTGGTTGTCAGGGAGAACAAAAAGAGGAAATCTTTTTAGAAATTTAACTCCATTTGGATCTCAGGATCCAAGGCATAGTAAAACTCGGTTGTAATTCTTCGCACATATACATATTATGGTAATAAGTTACATGTGTTATTTTATGCATAAGTATATCCATATCTGTCCAATATATTCAGACCAAATCTTCAACTTTGACCATAGACCAGTATAAAAAATAACCAGGAAGAATTACCTCCATTTCAATAATAACACTGAAGAGATAAAATATAACTAAAAGCTAGGATTGCTAACACAATACTATAAAATCAAAATGCTAAGATATCTCTATTAAAATTTCAATACTAAAACTAGGGATTAAAGGAGGACCTCTAAAGCCATAGAAAAAATAAATAAAAAATAAATAAGAGGAATTCTCATTATCTGCACTCGGCACTCTTAATTATTTATCTACAAACCGTAATTGCTGTCAGGCAAAACTAGGGGATGTTGTATGAAATGAACAGCTCCTTGCCTTGGAGGAGAACATCAAGGAGAAAACTTTTATTGGGACTGTAACTTGTGTCCGTAAAAAAAGAATGAAAGTTTCTCAGGTAATAGTAGAAGCAGTGTCAAAACACATGTTTATGATCTCAATAGCATTTGTGCAACACGGATGGGTTCTCGTACACACGGGGACTCTCAGAATTGTGGAAGATAAACATCGAGCCTAGCTCCGGGAAAGGCTCTTTGTTGTGCAGGAGAAGCTGAGGAAATTAATTTGCCCTGTTCCAAGCTGTGTGAGATCTAACCGGCTGGAATGTGGCTGCCAGCCCTTTGAGGTAGTCCAGACAGGAAACCAAGACCAGGAGTACTGATATCACCTTTACTCTAAGGTTACAGTGACAGAAGCTTGCCTTTATTTTCCAGAAAGTGACTGAAATGCTTTCTCCACCCCTCATTTTGCCTCTGGATTGAGATATCTCTATAGTCTGCTTGTTGCTTTGGCTGCGGCTCTTCCTTCTGTTTCCCAAGGTTATTCTCACAGCCCATTACATCACCTCCCCTGTGAGCCTTATCCCCTCCAGAGTTCCCAGAGGAATCTGAGTATGGCCATGAGAACAAAGTGCAGCTGGTTAATCCCCTCTCCTGCTGGTAACTCCCCAAGATCACTCAAGCCGCACAGCGATAATACCTGGAAAATACCTGACATTGTTTTGTTTTATTTATTAACCCGCCCTTATTACTTGTATAAATAGCTCAAAGCAGCTAATCCTCAACATACGGCCACAATGCAGCCCATAATTTCTGTTGTTAAGTGACACGCTTGTTAAGTTGCCCCATTTTTACGACCATTCTTGCCACAGTTGTTAAGTAAATCGCTGCAGTTGGTAAGTTAGTATCCCGGCGGTTAACTGAATTGTGGTTCCCCACTGACTTTGCTTGTTGAGTAGGTCGTAAAAAGTGATCACGTGACCTGGGGGCCCAGTCATAAATATGAACCAGTTGCCAAGCATCCGAATTTTGATCACATGATTATGGGGATGCTGCAATGGTTGTAACTGTGAAAAACGGTCATGAATCACATTTTTCAGTGCCCTTGTAACTCTGAACAGTCACTAAATGAACTGTTGTAAGTCAAGGACTACCTGTACTCCTTCCTCCTCTGATTTTCCTCACAACAACAACCCTGTGAGGTGTGTTGGGTTGAGAGAGAATGACTAACCCAAGGTCACCCAGTTAGCTCTCATGGGTAAGGCAGGATTAGAACTCATACTTCTCCTGGTTCTAGCCTCATGCCTTAACCTTCAGAGAAGAGGGTAAAAGACTATTTTAAAACTGGAACAGCTAAAGATAATCTTAAACTGCCTCAACTGTGGGCTGGTGAAGAGTCAAAGGAAGACATTGGTTGAGGGGACATGTGGATGAGTACAGAAAAAAAACTAAGGACAGGATACAAAGAAAGCTGTAGAATTTACAGGATTTATTTTGCTCACATAAATATCCAGTAAGAACAAAGCTGCAGTTCTGTCTACCGTATATGCACATGCCTTTGTGTTTCATCAAGCACAATGCTGAAATAAACAGATTTTTTTCTTCACATATCTTCCAAACACCTTCTGGCCCTCAAACCTGTTGCTATCGTTGATGCCTAATTTTGCCTAGGATATTTCTTTAAAGGGAGACCCTTCTTCAGGACTCTAGTGGGAGTGGAAATAGATGATAAAGCCAGCAGGAACCAGGGACAATGTGGGCGGGTCGCTATGGAAACTCCAGCAGCACTATCATTGAAGTAAAGGTTGCCATTCTTTAACCTTCCTCCTCCTCCTGATATGGCACAATACTGGTTACTGCAGGAGATCCATGCCCTGGAAAAAAAATAAGGAAAAAAACCTCCTTAAGTACTCTCCCTTTTTTGGAATGGGAGATAGAAATGGGAGAAGGAACACTTTTAAGTCAGCTTCCCTTCGTTTTCTACCTTTCGCAAGATTCGGATTTTCACAATCTGTAGAAAACTGTGGTGGCAGAAGTGAAATAAACTTTTGTAATTAGGTAAATACTTGCCAGCTTGTTAAAACCGATATTATACAGGTAGTCCTCAACTTACAAACGTTCATTTAATGACCATTCGAAGTTATAACACTGGAAAAAGTAACATGACCGTTTTTCACTCTTATGGCCGGTGCTGCATTCCCATAGTCACATGATCAAAATTCAGACGTTTGGCAACTGACTCATATTTATGACGGTTACAGGCTCCTGGGTCATGTGATCACTTTTTGTGGCCTTCCGACAAGCAAAGTCAGTGAGAAGCCAGATTCACATTACAATTATGTTACTAACTGTAGTGATTCACTTAACAACTGTGGCAAGAAAAGTTATAAAATGGGGCAAAACTCAATAATTATCTCACTTAGCAACAAAAATTCTGGGCTCAATTTTGGTTGCAAATCGATTATCTGTATCTACTTTTCAGCACTCAGGTTTTCTTGGATCTGGATTCCATACAGCCAGCCAAACATAGATGTAAATGTCTGGAAGAAGCAAAATTACTCTTAGTTTCTCAGTTTCCTGAGAATTAAATTAATAGTAGTTTTGCTTATTGCAAATAAATCCATGCGCGTCTGGCTATTTCTTCTTCTGCTCCATCATTTGGGATTTGAGCCTATAATCAGCAAAGCAAGGCAGATTTAGTATTAGGCCTAGCTGACATATAATGTTAAACCAGGGGAATGATTTGTTTTTGATTTAATATATCAACTACCCATTATGATGTGAATCAAGCTTATTCCATGGCTAACATCTGGGTTGTTTTGTGTGTAATCCTGGCTTGCTTGTAATGGGCATAAAAGAATAAATCTTTGTTATGTTCTCAAAGCATGTATAATTAACCTGATAAATCCAAGTTGCTTTGCATGACAACATCCCATCATCTCTAAACTGTGACTATCCTGATTGGGATTTATGGAAATCTAATCCAAAATTTCTTGCGGGTGCCACTTACCTGCATCTGACTCAATGGTGGGATTCAAAATTATTTACTACTGGTTCTGTGGCCGTGGCTTGGTGGGCATGGCTTGGTGGGCGTGGCAGGGGAAGGATACTGTAAAATCTCCATTCCCTCCCCACTCCAGGGGGAAGATTACTGCAAAATCCCCATTCCCTCCCCACCCCACTAACCTGCTTTCCAGCTCTGTCCTCCTGTGCAGGGCAACAAAAGAAGACCCAGCCGATCAGCTGGGACTCGGGAGGCAGAGAATAGATGGGGGCGGAGCCAGTCAGAGGTGGTATTTGCCAGTTCTCTGAACTACTCAAAATTTCCGCTACCGGTTCTCCAGAACTGGTCAGAACCTGCTGAATACCACCTCTGGTCTGCCTTAGAGAAACAGAACATTAATACTACAATATATATCCCTGTGTGCTAGCTGGGCTTACTCATCATATAACACTATAACATGGATTGCTTAATTTTTGCTTACAGTAGTATAATTATGAACCTAGCCACTGTGGTTGTAAATCACGGGGTTTTGCCTTAGCTTGTTGTATAATTTCAGCCAATTATGGCTTATTAAACATGTTTAAGGCAATCCTATGGCTTGCCATAATGTGTAAATTCTTCCTAAGACTATACGTGATCCTATAAAAAGGCATTTATATATGGAATTTTAGAGTGGGCTAGTAATCCCATTTACCAGTTGCACAATCCCACAATCAGTAGTGTGAAAAGATGTTACTATCTAAAATAGTGCCTCTTTCACGTACAAAAAAGAAATTTAACTCTTGGGATGAGAAGTGTTGGATAACAAATGCTAAAAAGAG